ACGTAAAAGTGCCCCCTTGCTTCTCCGCAGCATTAGCCCGCGTTTGCACAGCGGCGGCATGTGACTTCCAGATCTGGACTTGGCGGCGGTAGATCCACGCGCAAAACGCAAAGTACGCAGCGATAACCGCAAAGACACCTGCAATCACACCAGCAATGATGGCACCAACGTTCGGTCCGCTGTCGCCTGATGAGGTGCCCTGAGGGTTCCCGTTGATGACATTGGTAATCGTCGCACCGTCCGGTCCAGTCATGGTGTACGTCTGCGGTTTGCCGGTTGCGAGCGGGCCTTGGGTGGGTGTCTGGACGGGAGCAGTGAGCGTTGCGCCGCCTGTTGCTGCGCCACCAATGACAGACTGGACGGCGTCGGGGACAGCATAACCATAAGAGCCCTCGATACCCGCATTGACGCCGAAACCGCGTTGGTTGATTTGTTGCGCGAGAGGGTTACCGGTGCTACCTTTGTCCTTGGCGTTGTATCCCTGAAGCGCGTTCTTGCCCGTTACGGCAGTGAATTGGTTGCTCCAGCCCAAACTGCTCATGTTGAAGACGTAGATGCCGGGGGCATCGCAGCCGAGATCTGTGTTGTAGCCGCCGAGAACAATCATCTGAGCGTCCCAGACTTGGCAGAGGTGGCCGGCACGAGGAGGGGGAATGGAGGCTTTGTCGGTGCCTTGGTCGACCTCGATCCAGGAGAATGAGGGGATGGAGAGGATCCACATGTCATCACGTTGGGTTTGGGTGCCTGGATCGCCGAGATCCTGGCCGGCGAACATGTAGATGTTGTATGATGAGCCGCTGGCGGTGGAGTTAGTACGGATATCGAGTAAGAATGAAGCTTGGCTGGACTCACTCTGCAGCAGCTCCTACGACAGTACAAGGGTTGACTCGGTACTTGGGCGTCTTCCCGGAGGTACTTTGCTTGTACCAAGTCGATGTCGAAATATCGTAAACATCGATGGTGTTCATTTGCGTCTGAATTCTGTTAGTATCTTGAAGTCATCTCGGCACAACCGAACCTACAAAAGTAGCATTATCACCGCCCGTCAACCCAATTAGGAGACCCTCGTCGCCAAAACCAGGAACGTAGACAAGAGAACTATCCGCGCGTTCAGGGAACGAGGCCGTGTTCTGCAATCCACCGTAGGTAATATTGCGCCATGCACCATCGGATCCAGCCGTCTTTCCATCGCCCAGCGACTCAACAGCATTGTTAGTCTGTCCCGGGAAAGTAAACTCCAGCAAGCTCTTCAGGTACACTCGCGGGGTCTGAATGCTCCAGCCCTCGGTCGTGAGAAAGTCGAGATGACCAGCAAAGTAGAAGCCCCTGCCCAGCGTAGGAACAGTAAGACCAGCACCTTCGGCAACGCGTTGTACGGATTGGCCAGCGTCCTCCGCCTCCTGTCCAGCTGAGGTCTTCGGGTCGGCGTGTTCGATCCATTGTTTGCCGCCAATGTTGTATTCCCAAATAGAGTTGTTCGTGGGGTCGGCTTGCGGACTATCAGAGAACTGACCGCCGTATAACCAGAGCGAATCGTGCGATGCCCAGAGTTGGCCGAGCGAGACGGCCGGTGGACCTTGTGGCTTGGGCAGACCGGTCAGAGCGGGAGAGCTGACTTGCCAGGATTCGGTGAGATCGAGCGTGAGGAAGTCGTTGTCTGGGTCAAGTTAGCATTGCGCGCAAATGCAATGATTTGCAATTCGCTACATACTCCATGTGTCCTGGGTCTGTTGGCCATCGGTGGTTCGGCGGAATCCGTACATGTATAGTGTTCCGTTGACGACGGCGCTTTGTCCGCTCCACCGTCTACACGCATCAGTCGGGCTATCCTCTCGTCGCACGAGCATCGAGCGTTCAGAGTTGGCCTGAATGGCGTGTGTTGGAATAGTACCACCCCGTACTCCAATGTGTTTGAGGGGGTTGAGTTGGATAATTGGTAGCATCAGTGCCAGTAAGACACTGAAGAGGCCAAATCGATATAGCTTGGTCGGCATAAACGATTGCGATGTGGTGATGTACGAATCGTTTGCGTCGTCCTCATCGCATGATTCCCAGTCGTCTTCGTCGTCGGCCAACCTCTCTCCATCGGCATTGAAGATACTGTTCGTACTCCTAAACCTGAGCATCTTCGCTGGCCGCAGCCGCCTCAGGCTCTTCCCATGTGTCGGTACAGGACTCCTCTCCTCTTGGATTCTGTTCTCGTCCACCAATCCAACCTCTGTGAATGTCGACATGCGACGGCCCTCAGCACGTGTCGCAGGCTGTGCTCGAACCCGCTCCATGACTATCAAAGTATTATCGCAAACTACAAACCCGGTGGTGCAACGCCTATGATCGCGTGCGCGCGTGCAAAGAGCGTAAAACGGGCCGTTTAAAAGCGAATACGAATCGTGTGTCGCAAACGTAAAAGGGTTTCCGTCGTCAAGTGAATGAGGTGCAAAGGGTTCGCGGCTAAATGGTCAAGATGACGTCGTGTTGTTCAGGAACAAGGTCCGCACCCTTGACCAATTCCGCCTCTTCACTCGTCGAGGGACGGGATAACAGCCGGGGACTATATGTGCCGATGGGCGTGAAAAGAAAATGGTTCGATTCGACAGCGACTGGTGACAAGGGATCCGATCGGTACGCAAGCGCAGGACGCTGATTTGCGTCGAGGTCAAACAGCCGGAATGACAAGCAGGTGTTGTGTTAGCGAACGACGACGGCCACAACGGAATGGTTTGTAGCGAGCAGGGCAGTGCAGAAATGAATCAACAGAGCCAGATCAGAGATGATTAGAATAGTACGAGTAAGATGGAAGGGGAAAGGCAAACACTCCAAATGTGGAGTGCATACTGACGGCCTCGCTTCATCCCCTCGCCTCATTGAACCCGAGAGACGACGCTGACTGGCCCGCGCAGCCGTGGATAGACAAGGTGCGTCATGGAGGGCGCCGGCAGGGTACGACTACGTGAGCAGGGTACACCAAGAACGGCAACGATCGATAATGCTGATAAAGGCGATTGGCTTTGCAACGGTCCAAGCCCGCGCCGCATTGGTCACGACACGGCGGTTTGGCAAGGAGAGGAGCAGTCGGACGAGTGATGGACTAGGGATCATTCCCTGCGCTAGGGCCCACTTGGCTTGGCCTATGTCAGGCGCTGCGGGCATGTCATCCTGGAGTAGACTTGGAAGGTCGTTGTGACGAGGCGGTCATGTTGTCCTCAGCCTATGACATTTGTTTCCGCCGCCAGCTTTTCGACCTTCCTCTTTTCTACCTTTGACTTTGTCTTGAACGTTTCGCAATCTCCATGTCCAGCAGTAGAATGTGACTGGGTTCTGCCTTCCCCCTCCTCCGACACCCACTTTCAATCAAAGCAATAAATCACACCACCCACCCGTACGGCGCGAACAGCGTATGTCCGTATTGTAGACCCTAGCTAATACGTTTACGGGTCCCCCGGAGATTTCGATAGCCTGTGCAGCGTGCAGTAGCTCTTTGCGCGTGTTTCGTGACCCCTCTAGAATTCTAGTCCATGTTTAAATCTATTTTCGCGCATCCGTTGCGCGTGTGCCACGGTGCTGGAATGCACCGTACTCTTTTTTTTTCCCTCCCTTTCTTGTTACCGACCGCCGTTGTTGTGCTGGGTCAACGGGCGTAAGCGCGTTGAGGGTGGCGGTGCAGCTATTTCGTTTGTTCTAGATGTTTTCGGACCGCACTGCATCCGAATGTACAACAGCGACTTTGCCTTCGCCTTCGCCCGTCGCATCGAGTGATGCAGGGTTTTCGCTAGGCATAGCCATGACTGCGCTACGCATGCGAAGCGACTATCGTGTGGCTCGGCGTGGGTAACAATGGGGAAGGCGCGATCTCGGGTGCCAACCGAGTCAAGTAGCGATGGGCTTGCTTGGGTACTGGCTTCGTCCATACAGGTCACGACGACAAGGAATACGCGGCTGAAGGTACTGTGGTGTTCGACAACACACTGCCTCTGGTGGACCATGAATGAAATGGAAAGATCCGTAATATACGATGCAATAATCATCGAATGTGTTCGAGCAGTTTCCATATTAGTCTTCCAGAGCAACGATGCATTGCATGCATGTAGACAATACAGCACGAAGTCGAACTGCTCGAGCATTGCGGGACCGAAACATGTAGTGACCAGCTTAGCTTTGGTAGTAGTGTTGGCTTAGTCCTATAGGCCAGAGGTCACGCAGACAAGGAATACGAGGCTGGAGATACTACTAGATAAGCTAACACACTGCCTCGTAGGTTGGAAGTCAAACGTATGCTTATAGTGGACAATCTCAATGACATCCATCTAGGTGCTCTTTTGTAGATTACAATACTTGCAAAACACAACAGATCTCTGCTTAACCCAATGTCTCGCGATTTACATCAACTTTAATTGTCCCTCACACGCGCTACTTGTAGATTATTCACATGGCAGGGGTAGGCAAAAGCAGCGAGAAGTGCTCACGGGTTTATTGTGCCTTGTAAAGCACCTGCAAGCACACTACAATAGATATGAAAACGTATATTGTACCATCTCGGTACTTTACAAATTAGGAAAATCTATGCATACTTCATTTCAGAACACAGATATCCAACGTTGGTAGCTGACAGCTTTTCTTCAAATCTCTTGCCCAAGTCTTCACTCTTGTACCAAAAGCGTACCATGTCACGCATCAGTCAAACTACGCCTTATGCATAACCATGTATTTCTACCACTATTATACAAACGAAAATGCGAAATCAATCATTCCCAAGTCAACAACAACCCGAGGGTGGCAGAGAGAGACTGGAGCCGCTGTGGTCCAGGCTGGCTAATCTTTTCTAGGTTTTTGGAGGCATAAGCGCCTCTCGAAGAGTTCTGATATCTCCAAGCAGTAGTTCGTTGTTACGTGTTTCCGAGGTTTCCGAGTACATCGAGATAAGGACGGTTGCTGTTACCATCTCGACCCGATAGCCTTTTATTCCACCAGTAGAAAAAAAAAAAGGACGAAAAAAACCCTCCCTACTCCAGCGAATAATACTCCTCAATCTCACCCCCATGCTCCCCACTAACAAAATCCATAATATCATCCACCGTCCCGGGGAGATCCTCCGTATCAACCTCCTTCCCATTATCCCTAATCAACTGAACCATGTCCTCAAACGCCGTCCTCAGCGTCTCTTCCGACCAGATGTAATTGCGATCCTCGGTTGACATTTCTTCGGCGACACCTTCCCAGTCGATATCGCCTTCTTCCTCATCACGACGCTCTTGCAGTCTGGCAATGAGGTCGTAGAGGTCGCCCCATTGCATTTTGGACGAGTCCGACACGGTGGGTTTTGAGGAACCGGGGTTGATGGTTGGAGGAGGGCTGGATTGAGACTTTTCCTCGTCAAGGGGCGGGGTTTCGTCTTGCTTCTGGGGCGGCGTGGCATCGCCGTTCGCGTCGGGCTGATTGTCGTTCACGTCCGCTGCTGGGCTTCGGGGCGAGATGCTCGCTTGATCCACCTCTTCGCCGGAGTGCTCCTCATTCTCCTTTTGAGATGTAGCATCACTGTCTGCTTCTGACTGGTCGTCGTCCAAGTTTTCTGCAGAGCCGTTGTGCGTGACATCGAGTTGTTTCTCTTCCTCATCAAGCTCCTCGTCATCTTTCTGCGACACAGCGTCACCGCTGTCCGCTTCTGACTGCTCAGCGTCCACATCTTTTGCTGGACTGTCGGACGCAGCACGGGGCTGATCGTCTTCGTCCTCAATGGGATCCTCGTCTTCGTCAATATCCCGTGGTCCTTCGTGGCCATCGTCCAGTCGTTGATTTGGAACATTGTTGGGCCTGATGCTAGATGCGGATGTTGTGTTTTCCTCCACATCGTTACCATTGCCCCCTACTTGCTCGGACTGTTCTTCCTCTCGGAGCTCCAAATCTTCAACCGATTCCGTTGCCGCTTTTGGTTTCCGCCGTTTCTTCGGCTCCTCCGATTCCGTATTGCCATTCTTCCGTATTCGTCCACGTTTCTTGGATGGCGGCGACGAACGTGTCGCGTTTTGATCGACATTAATGTCCTCGTCATCAGGATCCTCGATTTCATCCCTGATCTTACTCTTCTTCGACTTTTGAGGCTTCTCACGCTCCATACCCTGACTCTTCCCGGACTTCCGACGTTTCTTCTTCGTTGGCGAGGCATTCGTTTCCCTGTTCGCTTGTTCGTCTTCGTCTGAATCATCAACGATATCATCTGGCTCAGTCGTACGGAAGTTCATCGACTTCTTCACGACCGAGCTCTCGCCCAGAGAAGGGCGACCACGTTCCTCCGATGGAGGCGCGTCGTGGACTTCATCGTCGTCCGACGTGTGAATAAACATCTGCGACTTGATAACATGATGACCTCTAGGTATCTGACCCTCGCCCTGCTGCGGTCGACCACGTTTCCTAGGCGTCGGGTCGGAAGCCGTAAGTCCAGAAAGAGCGGACTTGTTCTTTCTCGGCTTGTGCTCCACCTGAATGTGTGGTGGAGGGTTGCGTTTCTGCAGGTTCTTCCATTTCGCCACGACCTGTATCCGGCTTCGAGTGTTGTCCATCTCACGACTAACTTGTTGCCAATTGATGTGTTTAATCGTGTATTCATCCACGGGCGGCAGTCCTTGTTCAGCACGGTAGTCTTCATCTCTCTGGGCGACTGTCGTGATGGCGTGGATGAAGAGCTCTTCTTCTTCTGGCTCCCAGCGTGAAGACTTTAGCTTGTCGCCGTATTGCAGGTAGTCGCGCCATCGATTTTGACAGTCGTGCATTGATCGATCGCCCATACCTACTTCAATCACTTTCCACTTGTTTGGGTGTTGCGAATACAGATCTCTGAGTAGTTGGTCCTCTTCATCCGTCCATGCTCCACTCTTGAACATGTGGTATGTTTGCCGGATGTGTCTTCTCATTCTGTCAAAGGAACGTTTCGTGGTAATGTTTTTTATGTCATTCCAGAACTCGGCACTCTCCCGTGCATTGTCCATATCTTGTGGCGTCCAGTCGTTCTTTCCCGATACTTCGCCGTTGGTACGGTTGAGGGCGGGGTCTTGCTTACTCCATTGGATGATCCTTACGAGCTGAGGTATCTCCAATTCCTTCCTATCTTGATAATCCCGGACAGCTCTTCGGATCAGCTCTTCTTCATCCGCAGTGAAATCGCCCGTCGTCCGGAGATCTGGAGGATAGTTCACGGTATGATCCACGCCTGCTAGAGCCCTCTCCGCTGCGGTACCCGTTTGAACATTTTTTCTCTTGTAACTGAACTTGCCACTCTCGCGTCGCGGCGTAGCTTTCTTCGTGGTTGATTTTCTCTTCTTCTTTCTCTCCTTCTTCTCAAATTCGTCGCGACTGCTGGTGTCGGGTGGAGGGTCGCGGTAATCGTCTTCGTCGCTAGAAATAGGCTCCCGCATGATAGTGTCTTCGTCATCGTCGTCGCCCAACGGCTGCCCGGGTGTCCGTACAGCAGTAGCTGAGTTATGAGCCTCGTCGTTGGTCTTCCTTGCCTTCTTCAAACTGCTACGCGGCTTACGGGTAGAAGCCACCTTGGGTGTATTAAGTTGTCCAGCACCTCCAGGCTGTGCAGGGCTGTTCATGGCATCCGCAACTCCAGCATTTATAGCGTCTTTGTCCTGGGCGTCACCGTTCTCGCCGTGACCATTCGTGGGACGTGGATCATCGTCGGGAATCTCGTAGATGTTCTTCGACTTTGCGATCGGGGTTCGCGGCTTTTTGATTCGTTTCAGTTTGGTCTTCTCGGTGCTCCGTAATAAGTCGCCGTCTTCGTCGTTTCCGTCGTGAGGACCATCTTGGATGAGATCTCTTACTCTAGTCGCACTTTTCGCGCTACCAATCTTCCGCCGCTTGGGTGTGGGTGTTCCGTTTACAGGTTCAGTCGCAACTTTGCGCGAATGTCCACCTTCCAAATCTGGTGTATCCTTCGACTCCATGTGCGATCCCGATTCTGCATCGTCGCCTTGTGAAGGCCTGTGTTTAGACGGCGCGCGCGAAGGAGATAGTGCCTTTTCCAGGAGCATGCTTATGTCCCTATCGTGGTCAAAGTCGTCTTCCTGAATGTTGTCGCGGCTGAGTCGATCCCGTTTTGTGCGCTTGCTCGTCTTGTATGTGCGTTTGCTTTTCGTGGCGCTGGACGGGACGATGTTGCTGGACGGAATGACATGGTTGCCAGTGGGCGACGCGGCGGACGTGTGCAGAGACTGCGCAGGAACTTGCGAGTCTGGCACTTCGATGGCAGTCGAACGCATGAGGCCGTTGGTAGTGGAAAGTTCGGGTTCCGGTTGAGAGGCCGGGAAGGGAAACGGAGAGTCGTCTCTCTGGGCTAGCAAGTCCTGAGTCGCAGCCGGAGATAGCGCAATACTATTCTGACCAGACTTGTGCGCGCCTTTTCGCTTGCGCTTCTTCTGTTTGGACGACGAGGGGTCGTGGCTGCCGTTGACCTGAGAGAGGGTCATGTTTTCGCGATTGGTGCCATCGGCGGCGGCGCGCGTGTCTTCCTCGTCCATGAGCTGCTGCGACGCGGCTACATCATCCATGTTGGGGTCTACAACTCCAATGCGTTAGCCGTGTCCTCGTCCAAGAAAATGTACTTTGGTGGAGCCAAACAGTAGCATCAAAAGCGCGTCAGGCTCGTGTACTTACTAAAGTGGGCCTTGCGCTTGGTGGCGGGGGAAGCTACCATCGAGGTGTTTGCGACGCGACTGGGACTTGGAATAGGCTGCGAGGAGGTCATGCCCATCTTCTTCCTAAGGTCTGTGAAGAGCGCATATCCAGGGCTAGATTCGAGCATTGCTGGTGCCGTGGTTCCTCTTATACCACAAACCTTGGTGACAACTCGAGAAAGTGACATGTCGCGTTGCATGCACTTGTGGTCCCTGGCTAGTAAAAGTGGGGCCGCACCATCTCCGATCACCGGTTCATCCATACAGAGCAGCCCTTCTCCCCGCTCACTCTGCACATGGCTTATCTCGCATCACATCTCTTCAAGGTAGACTCGCGCCGGAGGCTTTTGGTATCGCATATGGTGCTCCGAAGATGACAGGTCGACGTCTTCTTTCGACACCATGCTGGAGTGAAAAGTAAAACGAACTGACTAGAATATACAGCAAAGCAAAAGGCTGGGCGATGACTGATATGATGACAATTTGGGGCTGTGATGCTCCTCGAAACTACGCTTTCTAACCCGAACCTTTCTATACGCATTAAATCTGTCCTTTATGCTCCCCACTCCTCCTGCAATCTCTCAATGACCTTCTTTACATACTCCACATCCGTCACACTCGGGATAGCCCTCATGCTCTCGCTCTTCGCGCTCGTCTTTTCCGTTTCATATACCAAAACGCCTTTGTTCTTCGTACTCGAGCCATGCCCGTACTTGCTCTCGAACCAATCGAGCAGCTTGATCGGAGGATTCTTCTTGGGATCTTGCTCCGAGTTGCGCAGCCTCTCCATCCACTCGTCTGTAGGCAGAGTTTCGAATTTGAAACCAGCAGCAGCAAGAGCAGGAAGCATGTCGCGCGTCCAGTGGAAGCGGATGGGGTTGAGAACGTGGTAGACGAGGTCAAGTGGGGGAACCTCGACGAAGCTAGGGCGTCTGGGGCGTCGGCGACTACGAGGAGTGTAGTCCGAACCTACGGGTGAATACACGGGTGAGGTAGGGTTATTTTCGAGCTCCTTGAATGGGTAAGGGTCGAAATCAGCACGTGGGTAGCCGTCGAAATCAGATTCCGTGTCTTCGCTAGGGACGTCGCAACAATCAAGAATGATGCGGGCGGCATGATCCACAGGCAGCCAGGACATTTCTTCGTCGAGAGCCGGAAGCGCTCCCAGTGTGACGGCGGTCTGAATCATCAGCGGTATGCCTTCGGTGGTATTCCACTGCCCGACTTTAGAGTCGCCGACGAGTTGGCCTACCCGTAGCACTCTGGCGTCGGCACCGGCCTGTCTCGCGGCGTTGAGAACGATGTGCTCGGCAACGTATTTCGAGCGCGCGTAGCCTGTTTTTTGGACGTGCGAGATATCCGTCACAGGGCCTTCTGGTACTGTTCCTGGTCGCGGTGTTGCAGCAGCGGAGGAAACAGATGAGCAAAAGAAGAAGCTAGCAGGCCATTCTCTGCGTCTGTCTCTCTGACAAAGATTTATGAGGTTTTGCACAGCGGCTATGTGCTCTTTTTCGAAGCTCTGCACAGAGATGTTGAAGTTTACCGCCCAGGCGCTGTGGATGACCAGGCCGACACTCCAGGAAAGCCTCTCAAATCTCTCTTTCCCTAGGCCAAAGTCTGGTTTACTGAGATCGGCTGGAAGGGCGACGATCTTCTCGAGCTGCTCTTGTGTGGGACTGAGGCCTCGCACAGATAAGCTTTCCAATGTTCGCTTTAGTGCAACGAAATCAGAGGACGCTCGAACAAGAGCATACACCTTGTCAATTTCGTCGCTCCCCACAAGTTGCGCGAGCAAGTGAGCACCCAGTCCTCCGGTAGCTCCGGTCAAAACAGCGTGACGTGTCCCGTAGTTTCGCCGCTTGGTAGGTATGACATCTGAGTACTTTGTGATCAGATCGTTCATAATCTGTTCATGGCCTTGTGTATCTTCCGTCTCGCCTGTACGCAGCCCATGCAGGTAGCGAGCAAGCGCAGCAATGTTTCCAGTCTCATACAGCAGGTTCTGTCCCACTTCGGCTTGCTTGCCTCCCAAATCAATTTCCTTCTTGATCAAGCTCCACATTCGCAGACACTGCAGACTATCGATACCGCAGGCGAAGAAGTCTGACTCGGAAGAGCCTGGTTCCACGCCAAGCTCTTCGCGAAACCGTCGAGACAGATACGCCTCGAGTTCCGGAAGCGGCAGTGCTACGGACCCGCTGGTGTCGTTCTCAAACTTCTCGTATGCGTCTTGGATCTGCTGCTTGAACTGCTCGTAAACCTGGGCGCGGATGAAAGTGCTCTTGTCTGTGGTCGCGTACTTTGTTCCAGACGGCAGCACGACGATAAGATCTCGCGGAATGCGAGAGAAGCTTTCTGCGCGAGAGTTCGCGTCCTCGACAGCAGGCCAGATGTGCTGCAGGAACTCCTCGTCGTTCATGTCGGCCGCTGCGTCGGCCTTGATGATCAAGATACCTGGAACTGTCTTGCCGTCTCCGAAAACGATGGCTTCTTGGACAAGCGCTTCTTGACGTATCCGGCCTTCGATTGGAATTGGAAGTACCTTCTCCCCGTTGACCAATGTCAAGCGGTCGTCCAGACGTGAGACGTACTTCCAGTGATTAGGCTTTGTAGGGTGTTTCGCAAAGAGATCTCGGGTGCGGAACGAGTTAGGCGGGTCGTCTGAGTTTATGGTGCTCTTCGACTTGAGACCATCGAGAGCGACGCACTCGAATATGTTTGGGGCGACCTCGTCCATCAAGAGATACTGTTGGACTTGGGGCAGTATGCGAAGGTAGTTCCAAGCATTGTCACCTGGTGGTCGGACAGATGTCATGACGCGTCCGGTTTCGGTCGCGCCATAGTTTGCGCAGACGTTGACGCCGTGCTTCACCAGCTTGTCACCCAAGTCGTCAGGACAAGCACTGCCTCCATACATGATCAGGTCAATGTCGGCTAGCGCTTTGAGTCCTTGATCTGAATCTGCGAGAAGTTTCAGAACATAGGGTACACAGAATAAGAGATCCGGCTTTACATGCTCAATCGTGGCTAGGAGGTTCTGCTTCGTGATTGGGTAGTTGTAGTTGACGTAGTACATGGGCTTTCCGGAGTAGATTGATCGGAAGGTTTCGTAAAAACCGAAGCTGTGGAATAGCGGCTGCGTCATCAAAGCTTTCCGATCGAGGTTCAGCGCGAACGTCGCGATGCAGCTTCTGTGAGTGAGATAGATGGGTTTTGGTAGGCCTGTCGATCCCGATGAATGAATGATGACAGCTCTCTTGGGGTTCTCGCGTTCTGGGTCGTATGTGCGATGGAACACTGGTGCATCCACCTTGTAGTAATCGTGGTGCTCGAGCGTCTCGAGCACAGTGATGCTCCTCTCATTGCGCACTTGTACCAAAGCATCGTGGAATTGGGCAGTTGTGAGTATAGTGTCGCATTCGGCTTGTTCAAGCAATGAACATATTGCTGGACTGGCGAGCCGCGGGGATAGAAGAAGGGCGGCATAGCCTAGCCTGTTCAAACCAAGGAGAGTGATGATGAACTGCAGAGAAGAAGGAGCGAGTATTGCGATGGTTGGTGCCTGAGCAAGTAACGAATCCTGTTCTCGCTGTCAGATGTGACTTCTTCGCCGGTTCAGTTCCCACCTACCGCTGGCTTCAGCCCTCTCCGTTGTAACGCGTCAACTGCCGCATCAACATAACTGTCAACCGCCCGTGCTGAATGGTCTTCGTAGTCGGTGAGACCTTCTCTCGGAAAGCAAAGTAGGGGAGAATCTCCGAGTTCTGATGCTCGTCGCTTGATCAGCTCGTCGATGGTATGGATTGCGTCATCGCTTCCAGCGAGACGAAGCGCCGGCGTAATCGCGTGCTCCTTCGTTTTTGTCAATAAGCCAGGCATTATGATATGTCTGATCAGCTGGTACTTACAAAAGCAAGCTCTTGTACCATGGTATCTATACTGTCTTGAGCCGCCGTGGTTCCGATGGTCCCGATATTTCCGATCGCACGTGATATCAGCATGTCGGATAAGAATTCCGCTGGGTTGATGCCAGATTACTCACCCACATCATCACGCGAGGAATTCTTTTCCGCAGGATTCAGCCTTCATGGATGGTTTCAGGTTGTCGGGTAGCGGGGTAAGTCGATCCGCTGCAAGTAGATAAATATCCCACCAACGACTGCTGACGACCGTGTCGGGACTACTTCGGGTGGCCGAAGTTCTCGATCTCTTATCGTCTCTATCTTGTGTGCTGAGTCCGTGTATGCTCGACCAGCGCACGAGCACGTTCTTTTGCACGCCGGATATGCGAACCCCATGGGGCACGGGGCTTCCCCCGCATCTCGGCATGCAGCGATCCCTGGATCAGCAACAAGTTGCTTTGCCAAGTTCGTGGAGTCTGGGGAAGAGAAGAACTACAAAGCTGGCTGTTGTCTGGGGGTAATGAGGCATCATCAGCTCTGGAGGTCGCAAAGCTCCATCTATTCACTATGGCGACTCCATCCAATGATATCAAGTCCAAGGTCTCGATCGAGCACATCGATACACTAGACAAACCGCAAAATGTCGTTGCTTTGGACAAATTCGGAGCAGCGACCGAGTATACCCCTGAAGAGAAATCTCTGGTCAGGAAGTTGGACACCCATATGATGGTAGGCTTATTCTTGGAGCAAATGGAAAGCTCGTTGCTAACAACTACAGCCAATGCTTTGGATCATGTACTTCATGAACTTCCTTGACCGTAACGCCATTGTCAACGGAAAGATCAACAACATGCACAAGGACCTCAATCTGCAGGGGACAGAATACAACACATGCGTGAGCATCTTCTTCGTCGGGTAAGAAGTTCGTCTGCCTCACTCAGATCCTGTTTGACTCTTGCACAGTTATCTCGTAGGGCAGGTACCCTCAAACATGCTCCTGACTCGTGTCAAACCCTCCCACTACATGGCTGGTTGGACGATGGCATGGGCAATCGTATCGACACTCATGGTTCTCGTGAAAGACTACCATGGCATGTTGGCATGCAGGTATGATTAGCTTTATTACATTCGCAAGTCACGTACTCATATCGATAGACTTGTACTTGGGATGACGGAGGCACCGTTCTATCCAGGAGCACTGTACATGATCAGCTCTTTTTACACAC